TGGACCCTTTTAGAGCATATTTAACTCCTAAAATGATAGAGGCACTAGTGTGTACTAGTAATTGGCTTAGGGCAGATAAAGTAAACTTCTATAAAGAACCAACGGAATATATGATTCGATTTTACAAGGAAATAGAAAAAGTGGAAACAAGTAAGATATGCTTTAATTCTTTTAGTAAATTTGTTATTAAATGGTTTTTAACTTTAATTATTCCTGCTACTAATATGTTTTCTTTGTTTGTAATGTAGGCTTGGCACAAGCTCAAACTTCTACAAGTTCAATACCTCATCCAAAAGCTTCGACATCTCAAGTTTGAAGAATTGATCAATGAATTTTACTTTTTGAAGTTTAGTTCCAATTTTCATTTGGTTTGAGACTTTTAACTTCTATTTGGATTGTTAACTTCTATTTGTTTTGGTTCGTAACTTATATTTGGATTGTAAACTTAATCTTCATCATGAATCTTGCTGCATCATTTGAATTATTGGGTGTGTGAATGATGAATTATAGATAAATTTAGGCTACAATGTATGAGATAAAGGTGCAAGGCTACAATGTATGAGATAAAGGTGCAATGCTACAATATATGAGATAAAGGTGCAAGGCTACAATGTATGGAAGATGAATGCCCTACCAAAAATTTAGAATTTCTTGTGGAGAGTTGTGCGGGAGGCGGTGGCCACCATGGCAAGATTATTCTCTCATCGGTCGTCTCCCTTACCTGTGTGTCCAATTTGTAACAACTAGGAGGAATCGGTGATGCATTTGTTATTTCTTTGTCCTGTGTTAAGCCCGTTTGGTTTGGTGGTCCACTTGGCTTTCGGGTTAATGGTCGGGGTATTTCTTCCTTTGGAATCTGGCTCCGAGGTATGATTGATGTGGCTTATCGCCTGTCAGATAGATCGAGATTCCTTTCTGTTATTGCTTTTTCTTGCTGGCATATTTGGAAGACTCGATGTATGTATGTTTTCAATGCTAAAGTCATTGTTCCTTCTCAGGTGGTGCATGTTATTTCTTTCACTTCAGCTACCTTCTGGGAGGCTACTCTTCCAAGCCCTTCTATTCCTTGGCCTTTCCCTGACTCATCCAGGCCTCCTACACAATGGTGCCCCCCAAATGACCCATATATCAAGTTGAACGTTGATGCGAGCTGGAACCGAGCGGACGGTCGAGCTTGTTTAGCTGTGGTGTTGAGAGACCACAGGGGATAATTTGTGGTTGCCCGCAAGCTCTCTATTGTGGATCTGAATGTGGTGGTTGCAGAGGCGATGACGGTGCTTCGGGGTTGTGAGTTGGCAGCTGAATTGGGCTTTCGTTGGGTCATGGTGGAATCGGATTCCTCTGAGGTAATCTCTTCACTGCTTGGGGATATTTCTAATGGCAGCTGGGAAGTTTACCCAATCTTGGAAAGAATTTCAAGTATGGGAACTTCTTTCTAGGGCTGTTGCTGGTCTTGGATTCCAAGATCGGCCAACCAGACGGTAGACCTTTTGGCGTCGAGGAAGAACATGAAGATGTGCAGCAAAACTTGGGTTAGACGACCCTCATCTTCATTGATACACATTCTCAACAAGGATGGACTTTCGTGCCCTCCTTAATAGTTTTTTGTTGTGGGGGTGTTTTGGGGTGACGCCTTGCTTCTGTGGCAACGTCTTATTGCTTATTCCCCTTACACCGCCCTTTCTGGTTTATGTTGCTTTGTTTGCCCCTATGGTGGGCTTTCCATGTACGTTTGGCTTTCGCCCTGGCAATATATGTTTCCAGTTCACCAAAAGAAAAAAAAAAGAAGGTACAAAAAAAAAGTTTTGCCCTTGAATTGGGCTAAAAAATAAAAGCAGATTTTGTCAAAAAAGTGGCAATTACCATTGACTTACCATGTCAACCGAACTATTTGGTAATACCGAACTTTGGTATACCAAAAGTTTGGTATGGTAATGGTAATAAATTTTGTCAAACCAAAAGTTTCGTATGGTAATTGGTACGGTAATTGTACCGAACCCACTTCTATTCCCACATGTTCTTAGACTTGTTTCTTCCTTCTTCATTTTTATTTGAATACCTTAACTTTTGCTTATACCTATGTTTTTTTTTTTTTTAACAAACGATATTATTTACACTAAGGGGAGGGGAGTGGGCTAAGCCTCACAATTGGCTAGCAATAATGTGTTCAAATTCATCTTTGGCGAAAATCGAACTTAAGACCTTTCACTTACAAATGAAGATGAATACCACTAGACCGTACTACTACAAAAGTGGCTTATTGTGTTGGAGACTAGTGGCGGTTTTATACAATGTACTGTCAGATAAGACATTTTCGACAGCCTGTTTAAATGTCGGATAACAAAGCAGTATTGTTGCTTATAACCGACAAGACTTGCTTTTTGTTTTTTAAATATTTTCAAACTTGCTTCGGATAGCTTAATGTCGGCATTACTGTCGCTTATAACCGACATGACTTGTTTTTTATTTTTCAATATTTTCAAAATTGGCAGTACTGTCGCTTATAACCGACAGGACTTGTTTTTTGTTTTTTTTTAATATTTCAAACTTGTGTCGGATAGCGTAATGTCGGTTTTATCTGACGAAATTGGCGTGAAATATTTGGGCATGAATTTTCCCGCTAGTTTTGCACGCAGAATTGGGCAGAGTGATGTCAATGGGCCCAAGGTGGTGTCGGTTTTAACCGACAGAATTAATATATGATGTCGGTTTTGTCCAACTCTAGTTTTCTACCCTAAATAAAAGCCTTCTCTTCCCCTATTTCCTTCATGCGCCGCTTCTCTCTCCTTGTTTCTTTCTCCATCACCTACCTTCGAAACAACACTATTCTCCCTTCACCCTACCTTCGAAGCATCCCCGTGGTTCTTTTTCCACTACTCCTCAAAACTTTCAATCTATTTTTTCTCTATTTATTTTCCAAAAAAAAAAAAAAAAAAAAAAAAAAAACCATCTTTGCAGAAAATGTTTAAATTTTCTCTGGAATTCTTGCTCATCCCTAAAATTTTCTTTTTGGGTTTGGTCCTCCAGTCGCGAATTTAAAAAGGTTTTGTCTTTCAAAGGAGGTGGAGATTGGTTATACAGCAGCAACATGTGGTGTTGTAGTGGAGCAGCTGCTCGACAAGAATCCTTACAACTCTGACATCTTTTCCGATCTCGAAATTACGTCAACGAGCAAGTATGTATCTCTCTCTTTATTGATGGAAATCGATACTTGGGTTTGATTAATTTTGATTGAATGACTGGTAATTTGGTTGTTTTAGGTTTCTTCACAAATCGAAACTTGGGTTTAATGCCAATCTCTGCCTTTTTTGCCTCTATCAGGTAAATTTGAGAGTTGAGTTGAGTTTTTTTCTTTTAGATTAGATTTTGATTTAGAGTCAATGCATGAGTGATTTTTTTTTTCTATTGTGTTTTGTTTTGATTTGAAAATTATTGCAAAAGTGAAAAAAAAATTATTTGAAAATCCATAGTTTTCTGCAAATTTGCTTAATTGGTCTTTAATTTTCTTAGTTGGTTTTCAATTTATATTCTATGATTTACTGAAAATTTGAACTTTGTTAATTATTTATTTTATTTAATAAAAAACTGGAATAGGCTTTTTATATATATATTTTTATTATTAATGGTTAGTGGCGTCGGTTATGAGCGAGAAAATCTGCTTTTTTTATTATCCGACTGGAGTTTCAATGTCACTTTTATCCGACACTAATGTCTTCTTTTTTTTTTTAAACACTTTCCTTTTTCTTGACAAATTAAGGGAACTAACCGACAGCAAAAGCCTTTTCATGACGCTAGCAATGCTGTCGGTTCTTTTATCCGTCATTACATGAGTTTCTTTCGGATTTTTCTTTAATATCCAACATTAATAGGTTTTTCTTGTCGCTTTTTAAAATGCCACTGCTAGGTACTTTTGTAGTAGCTATACCTTTTAAATATACTACATTACTTCTTTTAAGACAAGATATTGCTACGCAGTAATAAGGAGAGGGAGGAATTCCAAACTCAAGTACAGTGATTGCAAGGCTAAGGTCCTATCCATCAGGATTTTGCAATTTACTTGGAAATTGATAGACAAGTGTTTTTTTTTTTTTTTGCTTGAAATTTTTTTAACCATCAAATTAACATTTTGACAACGAATCAAAGAGAACATTAATTGGCATTTGTTTTTTACATTAAGGCATCAAGATACACATACACACACACATACATATATTTATATTTATTTATTTTTAATAAGAGTATCTTATCCATAAAGTGATAGGATATTAAAAAGTGGAACTGTATACTGTAAATTATTTAGCAATTTTCACTTCTATCATTTACAAAGATTGAAATTTTCAAGAGACATTCATGGTTTATAAAATGACGATAGTCTAGAGTAATGACCCCGGCAAGACCAAGACCACAATAATGCAGAATTCTATCACATTTTTCATAATTTGCTTTTTGCAGCCACTATCCCATTTCAGAATGAATTGTTTGTTATATAATTCCAAATTTCCATGAATGATTTCAAGAGTTAATTTTAATTCTAAATTTAAAATCAACTGGCTTTTATTTGTAAGTTTTTTTTCAGTACAAGAGATATTCTACACTAATTTACAATAAGGAGAGGGGAGTATTTAAACCAGAACAAAGTGGAGTTGAAGAGAAAGACGGACCACTAGAGCAATCTATCACTTAAATTCTAAGTCGATCACCCAAACCCCTTATTATTCAATTCACATGAACTTTCTGTAAACCTAGCAATGTCAATTTATCTTGTTCTATTGTAAAAGAAATTATTGTATAATTATTCATTGAATTATGTTAGCATTAGTGACACAACCCGACCTGGAAAGGTCGAAGCATGCTGGCTGTCACCGTGAGGTGACGTCAGGCCCGGCCCAGGCCCAGTGCAACCGGGGCGGGTGTCCGGGGCTCAAAATTAAAGGGGCACCAAAAAAGAAAAACCCACATAATTAGTATAAAAAAAAAAAAAAAAAAAAAAATTCCAGCCGATGTTTGACAAAAGAGTTGAACGACCCATCCCCCAATTAACCCTACCCATTTGCCATTGCAATCTCTCCCTCATGGAAACTGGGCCGCGGACCTCATCACAGTCATTGAAGCCGGCACGACTTCTGCGACGATGACCTCCATCACCTCCGTGGAGTTGATTTCGTAGTCTTTCGTTACCTTCAGTAATCAGGTATGCTTCACTTTGCAAACCCTCAAATCGACTTTTCGAATTTATTTCCCTAATTTTCTGTTCCCGTTTTTAATTGTATTGTCATTCTAGGGTTTCTGGGAATTTGGGTGTGCTGTACAGAGTATAGGGGTGTATTTATCAATTGCTGTTACATGTTTGCTATTATAACTTAATTAGGGTTGAGAACTATAATTTTGAGAATAAGTTTGCAAATTGGCTTCCTGTTGCGTCGAGAGGCATGAGATTATGGTGTATTTATCAAAGAAACTTTATATTAAGTTATTAACTAGAGCTTACTTCAATTTTAGGCGGATTATGTTCAAGAATACAGCAGCTATGTGGGATTTATGAGGGATGGAGCACAGTGGTTTGTGGAGAACACAGACATTAAACTTGTTGGTGAGATATATATATTCGCACTTATGTTATTTTTTATGACATGTAGTTTCTAACAGTCTGCGTGTATGATTAGGGTAATATAATCTTATACTGAGCTCTTCTCAGTGAGATATAACTGATTATTTTGCTGTTTATGGTATCATTTCTGTTCTTTCTTTTGAAGCTGACGTGTTCGTCTTTTGTTAAATATAGGAATTGATTACTTATCCGCTGCTGCATATGATGATTTGATTCCATCCCACCTTGTTTTTCTAGAAGGCAGGGTAAGAAAATCTTTATTTGACAAGAAATGAAAGGGTTTTTTCTTTAGTTCATGATTATTTTAGCTGGATGAGTTCCAGTTGGTAGATTGTTGAACAGTGGTAAATGCAGAACCAAAAATAGAGGCAACCAAGTTTTCGTGTTTTTTCAAGACTCAACCTAACACTGCTTTGCAAGTGGTTTCACCTTTCCTTTTGCCACATGCTTTGGTTTTGAAGCGACCATACATCAACTCATGATTAATCCCCTATTTGTTGCAGGAAATGATGACCCCCTCCAAGGAGAAATAGCATGGAATAGGACGCCACGAGAGCTTGGTATTTCAGCTTATGCTCTTCAACAACTTGGTGGTTCACATGGTATGCAGTTGAGATTAATTTAGTGGGATATGTTATTTTACATGATTGGATGAATATCTGGTTGGATTTGGGATGTATTGGATGTGTATTTAATGCGTTATGTGATTGGTTTTTTTTTTCTTTTTTCTTTCTTGCAGCTGCTACACCAAAACAAATTAGAGAATTAATGAAGGTTGATGGGCTTACTAATGATGAAGTCAAAAGCCATTTGCAGGTTTGAATATGTGATTATCCATCTGTTTTTAATCGTAATTTGGTTGATGTGAATAAAATTTTATACATGCATGACAGAAATTGGAAGCCATTTTGCATGCTATTAGTGGTGAATCTTTTTACACATACATGTGATTATCCTCGTTAAATATATTTTTTTTAAACATGTATTTTCGTATTAAAAAAAGGGCACATTTTGAGCTTTTGCACTGGGCACCAAAAAACTCAGGACCGGCCCTGGGTGACGTAACCATAAGGGTAACTGATGCAAAAAGTGAATAAAATTAAAACTAATTAGAACTAAACAGTGAAAGAGTGCGCAATTTATTCAGAGCGTAATAGACAGTGAGACTACGAAAGAGTAGTCAAAGCAACCAAAGTACACTTATTACATAATAGTGATAAGCTCGTACGTCTAATAAAAGGAAATGTCAGAACTATCGTGATTCCTCGAGTGCCACAGAGAGTACAGCTATCTAGGTCCTGGAGGGGCGAAAAATAAAGTTGAGTGGGTCAGCAAAACAATGCTTATAAGAAAACATTTATCTTTGAATATACTAACCCATCGCCGTAAAACAAGTATAGTTTCCTCAAAACATACTACGTAAGTATGAAATCCAATATATCAGCCATATAACCAGAAATATGCCAAGTAAATGATGTATCATATGCCACAATAATAATCATGTGATAATCAATATAACTAAGTGCTCATCCATCTAAGCTGACACACAAGTTCGAACAGATGGTTTCTGACACGAACAGAACTGGGTGTAATCAATATGCTCTAGTACTACGATCACGTGAAGACTGGTGCAAAAGCACATCACATACAAGTCGGATCGCCTAATGCAATCTACCCAACAAGACTGGCACCTAAACTTGGATCCAAGGTGAGCGAACGGTGCGGATGTAAACATACACATGAAGGACTGGCCCTGGCCCTGGGGCGAGTACTAACACCGGGTGCAGCAAGATGAACATGTACACAAGTACGTATGAATGCCACGACAGTAATATCATAACCATATAACAACATTTATCACAATTTATATCACAATAATGATACTAGGCAAGATAAGCGTAAAAGTGAAATAAATACGCATTTATGGAAACTATAAATATATATAGGTATAAAACAACTGCCCACTCACAAGTACGTCGCTGGGTCGTAGCCCCCGAGCCTAGCTTGGCCTCGAAAATCCTCGGAATAAGTTTCCCCTATATGTGAAATAACTAAATAACATTAATTAAAGCACACAACGGAAACCTAAATAAAACGTCCATAGTTTGCTCAAACCTAGGGTATAAATATATGAAATTGATCTACTCGACGATACGAACACACACGTGTCAACCACGCGCCGGCCGGAGGCCAGACGCGCCCCCACACGCCGTCTAAAGGTTTAGTCCACGCGCGCCCACACGCCCCCGCGAGTACACTGTACTCGCCTTCTTCGCGAAAATCTGCAGTTTTGCAAATTTTTGGCCCAACTTCCAGAGCCAATAACGAGCTCGATTCTCAACCAAATTCACTTCTACAAAATCCAAATTAAAGCTAGAAATGTGATCTACCGATCCCAATTTACAAAAAGTTTGAATATAGTTCGTGTTGTTCAGAAATTTGGCCTGAAAATGGCCAAACGACCACGGCTGAAATTTTCTAGAAAACTAAAATTTTCTTCCCAACTTTCAGAGTTGATTTCTAACTCATTACTTAACCAAACTCAGTGATTCAAAAGCCATTTTGAAGTTAGGAATGTAGAGAACAAGTTTGTACCTAGAAGAAGTCCAGTTGTGGTCGAGGTTAACCAAAAAAATGGTTTGAAAGTGACTAAATGGCCACGGTTCTTGAACGAAAAACTTCGGGTTCTCCTTCTTCTCGAGTTTCTGGGTAAAACCACACGTTCAAACACAAACAAAGGATCAATAACAACCCATAGAAGTGAAATGAAGGTTCTAAGGGTTTCTCAAGGCTTACCTAAGCCATGCATGGCTTGAAAACCGTAGTATCGAACTCGCCGAGTCGGACCTTCCGAGTTGGACGTTCAAAACTCGGTCAACACTTGAACCAGGGGTATGGTCGTGATCGTGGGACTAAGATGAGCATGATGATGTAGTTTGTTTGTTCAATCTATGAGCTTTGGAGCTCGTTCATGGAGTTGCAGAGGAAGAGAGAGTTCACGGGAGAGAGAAAGAAGAGAGTGAGGTTTTGAAATTTTCTTTGCTTTTTCTGATAGAGGGGGACAGAGAATAAAGAAAAGATGGAATAGTTGAGACTGAATGATGAAGGGAAGTGCACGGGTAGGATTTAAAAGGAATCCAAGGATAGCTTTTTAGATTGGGTAGAGGAATACCCAAGAAAACTTTGAGAGAGACCCTAAGAAAAGACTTAGAGTACTTGGATCTAACGGAGGACATGACACAGGACAGAACACAATGGCGTTCTAAGATTCATATAGCCGATTCCATTCAGTGACTTAGATTTTCCAAGTCTCCAACCGAGAAGTTGTCCTCGCTCGGGAAATTAAGGGAACACTACCTCAACCTACATGCTCCACTCACAAAGCTCCAACATACAAGCTTCAACAAAAGAAAATTCAAAGAACTTAGCGAAGAAGGCTTTGGTAATTTAACACAATACGTTGAAATGAAGGAAAGCTTATTTATTGATATCCTCGATAAATTACAAATATGTACATATACTTGAGTCAAAATAAACAAACAAGAGGGAGCCTTCACAAAGGTTGCTTAGGAGCAGTCTCGGCAGTCGGTAGAGAGCCCCAGAAAGAGAAGGCACCGGAGGGGGATCATTCGGGCAGCCTCAGTACTGGACAGAACCCTAGAAGGAGGAGGCATCAGAGGTTGATCATTTGGAGCTTCATTACGTGGTACAGCCCCAGAAGACGAAGGCAATAAATGCCTTTGGAACAAACCCACAAATCTCTGATGATCAAGTAAAACCTGACCATCAGATTCCTTCATCTGGTCAAGCTTCCTCTTCATGTTTGTAGCATAGTCATGTGCGAGCCGGTGCAACTTTATTCTCATGCTTGAGCCCTCTAATCTCCTGTTTGAGACTCATCACTTCAGCCGCCAATGATTCAACTTGGCGGGTTCGAGCAAATAGGCATTGGGCCATATTAGACACAGAACCTGCACACTGAACACTAAGAGACAGAGAATCCTTAACAGCCAACTCATCAGACCGTTTGGAAAGTAGTCTGTTATCTTTGGGAGTGAGAAGGTTCCTGGCCACTACCGCAGCGGTCATATCATTCTTCATCACGGAATCCCCAACGGTAAGAGGACCAGTAGGGGAGACGAAGGATGGGCGCCATATGTTGTCTGGAGAAGGCGGGGCTGCCTCTTCAACAAGGTTCAAGTCAAAACGACGGTCGGAGGGGCCAGACATTTTCAAAGGTGTAGAAGAGAGAAGAGGTCGGACAAATCAAGATCTTAGAAGTGCAAGAATGGAGCTTCTACTGGTGGATATTCAAGTGGGCTTTGGAACTTAATGTCAGCCTCTATAAAAATCTGCACTCGACGAAGCTCCAAAAATCGAAGAGGCGTTTGCTTTCTCAAAAGCTGGGCTGCTCAAAGACCACGAAGGTCGATCTCAGAAATCGAAGAGGTTTGCTTTCTCAAAAGCTGGGCTGCTCAGAGACCACGAGGGCCGATCTCAGAAATCGAAGAGGTTTGCTTTCTCAAAAGCTGGGCTGCTCAGAGACCACGAGGGCCGATCTCAGAAATCGAAGAGGCACCTACTTTTCCAGCCTTGTCAGCACCTGTCACACGCACACTCAGCTTTGCGGAAATTATGGGCATTCTGTCGAAGATTTCTGGCGAAGTAGAAAGCACATGAATCGTACTGTTCAATCACCCACTTCCCACACGCAACAGTAGCTCATGGGTACCACATATAACTTTGCCAAAGTTCTCTGACAAAGTCGAGACACACGTGAAGCTTGCAACTCTCACTACATCGCTCTGACCAAGAAGGGTAAAAGAATAGCAAAGAAACAACACTAACAAAGTTTAGACACATAAATTTTGAAGGCCTAGCTACCATATTATTACCCACAAGGGTAAAGGAACAGTACCACTGCTGGATAATTGGAAAGTCCCGGTGTGTCAACCTCTGTGCTTCATGGCAAGATAGACTAGCAAACATGCCCAACCTTTACTCACATTCGAGAAAACACTCCCAACAAGATTGCTTGCCCCAAAATCGAAGAGGCATCGCCCTCCGAATCTCGAGAGCCAGACTCCCAACATGATTACTTTCTCAAAAATCGAAGAGAGGGTAAAGGAACAGTACCACTGCTGGATAATTGGAAAGTCCCTGTGTGTCAACCTCTGTGCTTCGTGGCAAGGTAGACTAGCAAACATGCCCAACCTTTACTCACATTCGAGAAAACACCCCCAACAAGATTGCTTGCTCCAAAATCGAAGAGGCACCGCCCTCCGAATCTCGAGAGCAGACTCCTAACATGATTACTTTCTCAAAAATCGAAGAGAGGGTAAAGGAACAGTACCACTGCTGGATAATTGGAAAGTCCCTGTGTGTCAACCTCTGTGCTTCGTGGCAAGGTAGACTAGCAAACATGCCCAACCTTTACTCATATTCGAGAAAACACTCCCAACAAGATTGCTTGCTCCAAAATCGAAGAGGCACCGCCCTCCGAATCTCGAGAGCCAGACTCCCAACATGATTACTTTCTCAAAAATTGAAGACACCGCTCTCCGAATCTCGAGAGCCAGACCCCCAGCATGATTGCTTTCTCAAAAATCGAAGAGGCATCGTTCTCCGAATCTCGAGAGCCAGATCCCCGACAGGATTGCTTGTTCGAAAACCGAAGAGGCGCCACTTTCCCAACTTCAAGAGCCAGATCTCATTGGATAAAGCTTGTCTGTAATCTTCACACGCAACATCAGCTTTCCAGATACCACAGACCACTTTTTCAAAGTGCTCTGACAGAGTTAAAACTTGTGAAGCTG